GCAAAATGTAAACAATTGTCCGTTGAAATCTGTGAGCCTCATACTATTATAAGGATGTAATTAAAAGGAGTAGACAGATTTCAACGGCCTTTCAAATTAAAGGCTAACTATTTAACGATTTTAAATAGCAATTCTTGTTTAAACATTTGCCGCCTCCCTTGAAACATCCATATGTTTTAACAAATACAATATGTTATAAATAAATGCATAGTGTACGGTGAGCAAAACTTTCAACTTCAACTTTTTTCAAAAAACAAGCTTAAATGCTAACGATCGAGCCATTAGGGAGCTTACACAGATCATGAAGGATCTGTTGTACGAAAGAGCCATTAGGGACCCCGCGATATGTGAGCCAAATTGTGTTATGTTTGTTGTTATTATTAAATCGGACCAGTAATTATCCAGCCGAAGTTTGTATTTTGAGCGAGCAGCGATCCAGACGAGATTGGAAAACTATGATTTTGTATGATTTTTGGATACAAGTCTGCTCCTATCAAAATAACTACTGGACGAGATTAAAAAAATTGAGGATCCGCCAAAACTATATTTGACAAATCAGATTTCAGGTCCGAAGTAACCGAGCAGGATGGAAGATTTCCCGATATGGAATCTTCTACCAATGCCGACGTTTCCAAACTGTGAGATCTATCAGAACAACTACTAAGTTTTAACGAACACATTTTTCGACATGTAGTGTAGTCAAAATTGTGGATTTGATCGGTAGGTTCAATTTCTTCTGAAGTCGTTCGGAAATGAAAGTGGACTCTGAAGCCGGGTCAATTAGCGCCATAGCAGCAAAACAAGCACAATGGTTAACAATAATGACCGTGGCTGTTCCCAATAGAACTTTGTTCTGCGTGGCGTGAAATGTCTATCGAATAGCAGTGCCAGTGACAACAACGACTGTTGCAGTTTTTAAGTTCGTGTCCCCTACGAAGGCAATTAACACACAAACGAAGTCTTTTGACCAATTTAAATCTATCGAAATGGTTACAACTTACAAATCGATAGGAAAGGTGTAATCGGTGTTGCTCTGAACAAAGAATGCAACATGAACAACAACATGCGACAAACGAGAATTGGAAGGTAGACTTTTACCAGATACGGAATTCTTTCTATTATTTGCGTTTGACGCAGTATTACCATTTCTCATTTCATGCAAACACAGAAGAGTATGAATTCTCTCTGTCAAGAATGCATCTAACTCTTTCCAAGATGAAAGACACGATTTTGATTTTACACTTTGCTCCCATAAAGCGTGTGTCAATTTTTGCAAACAGAGAAATACCACAATCGGATCCCAATTACCCGTAGGTATATCATAAATTGCCATTGAGAAAAGACAACTATTAATTCATCGTTGAATCGACTTAAGTCCCGAACTACTTCCCTGGTCCAGCATAGAAAGTGCGAATAAAGACTTTAAATGGCTATGGACAGCAAGCGTGGATTATCATACGTGGAATTTAATGCATTCCACGCAGGTTCAAAATTCCGATGAGTCAAAGGAAATTTCGAGACGATTTCGCGAGCCACACTTACTCACCAGATGACATAGACGCTCAATGTCTGTCAATCTGGATTTATTAATATATACTGCACTAAACAAATCTTTGAATGTGGGCCAATTAAGTATATTTCCACTGAAAATATCAATATTGCAAGGGGGAATCGCTAGACTATTAATGTTATCTACATTTGAAGTATCAACAGCAAAGCTTGTGCTCATTCTAGTACTCCCAATATCCAATATTGTGGAACTAGATGCCTGTGTCCCCACCTCGTGAGAAGAGTGGGACAACTAGCTCATTTTTTTTAACGGAGGCATCGACTGACGGCTTTCCCGGAAGAATATTATCGGGATGCTCCGTTACTTAAACGGCTGAATTGTTCGGAGAATTCAGAGACGATCTATCAGAACTTCTAATCTTTGATAACAATATTTTTATATTGGATATATTGTTTAGATAAAACGTCATACTTGTTATATAATAAATCTAGATGTTCAGGACAATATATTTGAGAGAGGCAATTATTAAAACTTTCCTCAACTGATTTCAACAATTTTTTAATTTCCGCACTCCTAACCTCAATATCATAAATATCTAATTCGTCTTCCATCAGTGCAGCAAATCTCACCATAGAGTTGGAAGCACGAATGGATAAATTCAAGGGAGTGGAAGCCATTTTATAAATAATGAAATAATTCTAAGTTCGAGAAAAATCAGTGAAGAATAGAATACAAAGAAAAATCGAAATCAAATTAACTTTCCACAAGAAAAAAACTCGAAGTAATCAAATAACATTTCAAAAATATTATGCGACAAACGAATTTTTCCAAAAAGGGAATCAGATTACAAAAATTGTAATCTATCTCTATAACTTTCAATAAAATCTAGCTAATATGGCTTCAAAAGTAAAATACAAAATATTTAAATTACCGTATAATGATGGAAATATATCAGAATCCGAAACGAAAATAGACTACCAATTGCAGCAGACAATTAAAGAAACAAATCTACCGATTATAGCGTTTTATAATAAAAATGGCATTAAAATGCGAATAAATTATTAAAATTACAAAATATATCAATGGGCAACTATATGCCAAATACACATCCTACACAATATAAAAGTACAAACGACCGATTGTAGGGCACTTTTAAAAATCACAAGAAATATTAAAAATAAAAAATTAAATAATTTGCATCTATATGCACAAGAAAATACAAATAAATCACAAAAACCCAATAAATAATTAGTAGGCAACTATATGCTAATATGCACCCTACACAATAGTAGGGTGACTGCATTTTAAAATGTCAAAATTTTTTTAAATAATATTCCCTAACACAAGTATTATATTTACCATAAAATATATTAATATGTGTCACTACACTGCCGGGAGACCGTGCAATAAAACGGACACAACAGAAAAGGGAATATGCGAAAATGTAATATGTAAGCTTACATGCGTGTGTATATCTATTTGCATGCAAGTGACTGGCTGACCAACTAGCCAGAACAACAAAGTGATGTAGATGATATGCACAACAAAACGAAAGTTCTGCAACGAATTTTACAACAACAAATTGAAGAACGTAAACGATATTTTCTCTACGAATTTAGAGAAAAACAAAAAGTAACCAAATATAAAGAAAAACTAATTATTACTTTTTGTTTTGTTTCTAATGTTCCCGTATGACTGTCCACGAATGGACTTTGACCGATTGTCAACAAACGAGGGAATCCGTGACGCGTTGTAATGACGGTCACATAAACAAACGAAACACTTTGTTATTATTGTTTATGCTCACTGCACTATACATAACAATAATTAATATAAATATTAAGGCTGTGGACTGTATTTTATTCTGATGCCAACTGGAAAATCCGGATCGATTGGACCAACTGTAAAGCCCGTACTATAGGGAATTGGGTGGTTGGCAGGTACAGTTCAGTTGTGGTTCTCCTAATAGAGTCAGTACGTCCAATACGTACTCGTTAGTAAATATAAATAAAGAAAGAAATAAAACACAATAGTTTTATTAGTAAAAGGTTTCGACCAATGCCGATATTTATTGATTGGTAACGGAGTAGACAGGTTTCAACGGCTACGGCCTTTCAAATCAAAGGCTAACTATTTAACGATTTTATATAGCAATTCTTGCTTAAACGGTATGTTTTTGGCAAAACATTGTATTAAGACCTATTTGTACACATTAACAAACATAGGAAGAATCTTTATTTATACCGTTTCTTATGTTGATTTCAAAATGTCTACCAATTGAAAATATTCTCCCACATTTTATGGACTTTTACTCATAAAGCTCATATAAAGTTTATTTCTTAAAAAAACTACTGTGACAAGGGTTTGATCTTATAAGGGTTGACTTTGCAATCATTTAAATTTAATTTTAAAACATTTGTAGATGACCAGACTCCACTTCATTGAAACCCTAAATATCTTCTGTATACACCTTTAAGTCCACAAACTATCTGGGTCTCTTAAAAACTTTAGTTTATATATAAAATTTAAGTCACGTCGGTCACTTATTTCTTTTTGTAATATATTTGGAATTGATCGATGGAAGTTTGTTTATCGTACAATGTTTTCAAGACAGCATCAACAATAATATGTATGGCATGATTCCAGCAAAATAACTCTTCAATAGGACATTCAGTTGTTACAACGTTTCAAAACTTAATTCTAGCAGTTTTTCTTCAATCATTTATCGTCTATTAAAAAAAACGTTTTTAAAATGAGCATCTTCCACTTGTACACACATTAAAATCTTCCCTTTTAATTGTTGTATATCGATAACAAATAATAATTTTTTAATTCCGCATTAATATTTATTTAGAAATACAATTTCCCGATTTCCCGGGACATACAATCGGGAAATCCCGGGAATATCGATGTCAAAACAATCGGAAAATCCTGGGAATGTCCGGGACGGGAATTCCTGACTCCAAACCCTACTCATAGTCCGGATTTACATATGGTTTTTAGTGTTTGGTGGTATATATTTGTACGTCTCAAGTTAACGTGAGTTTGGTGGTACTGACATTGAATATAGTTTATTTTGTTTTTGGACTAAATCGACGTGTTCATACCTCTCCATAGGTTATCAAATTTTTGGGAGTAACATTTCTAAATTTCGTTGATTTTCGATTCCTTGTATTCCTTTATTAACTGGTTTCTGAGTTTTCTAGCCTCAAAATCATTTATTTATTTTTTCTTATAAATTGCATTGGTTGCGAAGAGCATATTTACTTGTTAGAACGTCTTGTCTTTTGTATAATTTTTGTTTCATATATAAATACTCAGTAATAAAAAAATTAGAATAGCTTTCAGAATTCACACTCTTTTACTGCAGTTTGTTGGTGTTGGTTACAATTTATTATTTATTTACAGATATTTTAATTCGGTTCGACATAATTGTAAAATGTCTGCTACAACAATTTCATTAATTCTCATGAAATAACTATACTTCTAGACAGCAAGTTCACCGCGAAGAGTCGCAGTTCCTGTTTTGGTTAAGGATGGGAAGCCATGTTCGTCCAGCAGCTCTACTCAGTCGCACCCGCACCAAACTAATAGCGAATTAGCAGATGATCCTTCTAACATTGTTGCTACTAATGGAAACAGCATAAATATTATATCTGAAACTCCAAATTCTCATTCTCCGGATACATCAACCTCCCTACTTGCATCATATAATGACTCGGTTTCAAGTGCCCAAATGTTGCAACAACCCTGCAATAACACAATAGTACCAAATAGTATAGCGATGGCTTACAGAAATCAAAATAATTTTATACAAAGTAGTCATCAACAGCAATGTGGAGGGTATCTTCCCCTTCAAGGTCGAGCGTGGTAAGAAATCATTCAACTTTAACATAAATTCGCCAAATTGTCAGCTATTAAATAAAGCATTACGAGTCGTTTATTCCATTGTATATACTGGTTTGAACTTTTGACATTAATAAGGTATAATAAGTATACAATATGTTAGTATATGTCCTAAATAATTGCATATACATGCAGCGCCTAAATATCAGTGTATAAGTTTGATACGTTCTGTCTCAACTTCCCGAGCTCAGTCAATCACGTCTGCTGATTGACACCACGGGCATCTCCTCTGCAAGTTCCCTCAGCGGAGACCGTAGAGTGCAGCGGTGGTTGTTGCTGTTTTGCTCTCCTTGCTCGACACTTTTCTCCCATTGGAATATGTTAATGTAGTAGTAAACGACAACCGATCCTCAGCGATCACCGCAATCCTCTGTGATTGCATGAACCACAGCGTTCACTTGTCGTCTAACCATAGAACTAACTTGTCGACCAACTTCCTTCGAGTTAACATAGTCGCATAACGTATACGCGTTATTAACAGGTCTCAGCGCCGCCACCATAAATTACAAGAGGTAATTTATTTGTTGTATTAAGAAAAGATTACCACCAATAAACCAATACTTTTATTAAGATTATTAAACTAACCATCCTTGTGTTTTATTTCCTTGTTATTTCTTTTCTTTTCATTTTCACCATTAACTGCTTGGGAGCTCTCGTTGTCGCTTCACCCCGCTCCCTTGAGTTAATACATTGATCACCACCCAACCACACACACACCACCACCACGGCGAGGAGTACAGCAAACCCCTCACCTAAACATTTGGTCCACACGAGCCGGATAAGAACGTGCATTGTTGTTGTCGGTCTCCCTATACACAACTCTCGCGCACCGAAACATTTGGTCGCATCGAGCCAGATCTTAACCAGTTTGAACGGACTGAAGCCGTCGTTTTGTTTTTATTCTTTGGAGAAAACATTGGAATATATCACCTCTCATCTCATCACCACATCAATAAAACACAATACTAACACCAGGTAAGTAAACTCAGATTTCGTTGAAAGTGAGCTACCGCGAGTGTTAGTCTTTTTGTTTGTTTGCCAATTTCTATCGAAATTGAATTGGCATTGATCGGCTTCCAGTTATCCCTACACGTGTGCTTTCAGTCGTTCGCATATTCACCAAAAATACAGTCCACATTTGTTTCTAGTGTAGTGATCATAAAAAGCATTGTTGATCATTGGAGAACAAATCTGTGTTGTTGCTATTTTTGTTTTCTCTGAATTGCTTATTTTTAATCTCACCTCAGCAACACACATCACCCGTTCTCATTTCTTGTGCAATTTAAGTCGTTTTAGTCGACATACACTACCACTCCTTTTGTCAATACATACTTTCTCCCATACAAAATATTAGCAGTCTACCGCCTTATACTGATCACCCTACGTCGCGTTGATCATACAAAAGCATTCGGTGTTGTTGTTAAAACCACTCGTCGTTTTATATTTCTCATCGATTCTCATTAAAAATCCTACGGTGAGAATTCGAAATAATATTGCAACAACAACACTCAATATTTCCATCCGACTCTCTGCAGTTAATCATCATAACTCCACATATTGCTTGTTTGGTTTACTTGTTGTTTTTTCCTCTCACCAACCAAACATATTCGATTTTTCTCTATTTATCATTTTCTCTAACAACACACAACATCTCCCAACATCTTGTTCGTTTGGTTTATTTGTTGTTTTAACTCTCACCAACCAAACGAATTCGTCTTGTTGTTACCACCCTCCTTTGTTCTTCAAGTAGAGAAATTACATTGTAATATTTCCAATAAGAACATAAAAAAACTCTTCTCCTCCTATTTTTTCGTTTGGTTTATTTGTTGTTGCATTATTCGCCAACCAAACGATTATTTGCTGTTGTTATTCTAAACCATAGAGAATTTGCATTACCAAATGTACAATAACAACAATCACCCTAACAGTCCACGATCTCGTTGTTTGGTTTATTTGTTGTATCGATCCATCACCAACCAAACATTCTTCTGTTGTTATTATTGTTCTAACGTTGGTCAGTTCTCACTGCACACGTGTTTTCCACGCGCCTTTTTCTAGCGTCACCTTGGTATAACAGATAATATACCAACAATTATTGTTGACTCCAACTCTCACTGTTGGATCGTTTCTCGCGTCGTGTGTTGTGTGGGTGCGTAGCTGCTTACGCATAGACATTTCCCTGCTAGCGTCGCTTGTGTTTTATTCTGTTTTGTGTGATATTCGTTATTCACCACACTACAACACAGTGGTACCAAGCGACAATAATTGTGAATTTTCAAAAAAATCATATTAAACATATTTTTGAATTGTTTTTTGAATAAATACTGATTGGTAGTAGGGTTTTTTGATATATTTGGACAAATTCACCCTACACTTGGCAGCTATTGCATACAATTGAAGCATAAAAAAATACTTGTAAAAAATATTACTTTTTTGAATATTTCTCCCTTTTTGTTGTTGTTTTCAATTCAAAGCATTGCACATTAGTCATTTTGGAAGGCTTTCAGCATTTTTTGGACTTTTGCACCCTACACTTGGTAATTTCATACATTATTCGGAGTAAGGAAATACTTGTTTTTCCTATTAGTTTGGCAAATTTTATTCATTGTAGTCGTGTTTTACTCCACAACTTTGTATATTTGAAATCTTGTTGTAGAATTATCTACATATTTTGGACATTTGCACCCTACAATCGGCTAATATTGTTTTTGACAATTAAATATATTGTTGATTTGTTTTTAAACATTAATTTTGCTCAGTGGATATATTCTTGCTTGCTTTTTGGACAACCGCAACCTATTATTGGCATTCACCTCCTCAACTACACCCTACAATTGGTAAATTTTGTTTAATTTTAGGAAATTTGAAAAAGAAAAAACAACTTGTGGTATTTTTAAAGTAGTTTGGCATAGTTGAGAAATTCTTCACTTTGTACTATTCTAACATAGACATTTGCAATATTTTAAAATTGTTTGTCCATTTTTTGGAGTTTTTCTGAAATATCTTTTGAGCTATAGCAACATTTGTTGTCTTTCAATTACTATTCCCCCATACTTTGTTGTTTATACAGGAGTTTTTTTTTTTATTTTTCGGCATTATTATTATATTATCTACTGTGTTGTCTCCCCTCTTTACCATACATAATGTCGATAACTCCTCTCACCCGCTTCAATAGAGCCACTGATATTGTCGTCAAATGTGTGAAATTCTTTGAAAAAATTCCAGAATCCCAGTATATTGCATACAACCTCGAAATTCGCAATACAGAAATTCGAGAGTTATGGGATAAAGTTAAGTGCGCCTATGATAAGTGCAAAACATCATCAGACATCTCAGACTGCACAGGTTGATAATATTGATGTCGTCGAAGAAAAATATAATACTGCATTTATTGCGTATTCTTGGTGTCTGTCCACCATAAATCGACATCTCAATCGTCTTCAAAGTCCTTTAATAAATAGTTCGCCTGCTATAGCTCCACCAATTTCACAATCTCCACCAATTTCAACATCTCCACCAAATATGCCACCTTCCGCTTCGAATACTGTGCAGTCCACCTCCCCTATTGTTGCATTAGATTTTCAAAATTCTTTCACCACTAATAGCCACCTGTCGAAAAGCATAGTTTAGTTGTTCCACCTATCGACATTGAAGTTTTCTCTGGCGATTTTATATCTTGGTCCACTTTCCGGGATCTGTTCACCACCATATTTATAAATAATTCTCAAATATCAGACATTGAACGTCTCTTATCTAATACAGAAGACCACCGGTGAGGCTCGTGAAATCGTTTCCAAATTTCCACTCACCAATTGTAGTTTCCCGCTAGCGTGGAAAGCCCGTGTCGTTGTTAATAGTCACCTTAAATGTTTGTTTGAACTCTCCCCACAAATGTTGAGACTGTTTCTGGTCTTAAAAGTATCCAACATGGGATAAATAGTTGCCTTGCTGCAATGTCAGTCTATGACGTCACCACGGATCTTGCAGCGATTGCCAAAATTGACTAGGACTCTTTGGGAGCAAAGTATCAAAAACAAATCGTCGTTGTCTTCTTGGAAAGAATTAGACTATTTCCTCACAGAGAGGATACAAACATTGGTTTGTCTAGAACACGTCCTCCCCTCTAAAAATAAGTTGTTGTTGCCAAAGAAAATGCATTCCTCCTCTAAGAAGTTGTCACCTAGTAATATCGCTACACCTCAATCCCCCAATAAATTGTTGTCGGCACATCATTCTAAATGTGTTACCCCACCTCGAGTTATAAATTCACCCTCCAAATCTTCTTGCTCCATTTGTCCTAACCAGAGCCATCATCTTCGACTCTGCCCCCAGTTTCTAAAACTTTCGTTTGAGGACAAATTCTCGATAGTTAAGGAAAATAAATGTTGTGTAGATTGTTTGTCTCGTGGTCATGTAGTTCAAACCTGCAAAAGCAAACATAGTTACACCTCATGCAAACAAAGGCACCACAGCCTTCTTCACCGGCCACCAATCAACAAAGTCGTTTCTTCCTCCAAGTCACCTCCGGCTTGTACAAATGTCAAAAGCCGAGGACAGACTTTGTTGTCACGTTCTTCGGAAAAACCTTCTTCGGCTTTTACTAAAGTCAAAAGCCGAGCATCTAATTTGTCGCACCCTTCTTCGAATAAGAAAGTTGTAAATCCACCGATACCTTACCCCTCTCAAGATACCAATGTTCTCTTAGGAACAGTAGTAAATATAGTTCATAATGAAAAAACACACCCTGTTCGTGCCATTATTGATCCCTCCTCCAAGGTATAGGTTGTAAGTAAAAAACTTAAACATGCACTTGGCATATCTGGTAATTCGAAGAAAGAATTTAGCCCTGCTACACTAAGAGAAATGTGTTATCTTAAATTGTCGTCCCCTAAGAATTCGTCTAAGATTGTTGACGCAAAGGCATTTGTTCGGCCTAATATCAAGGGGAAATTGTTTTCGAATCCACCCATAT